TTAAATTCCATTTATCCCGTTAAGCATTGTAAGCAACCTTAAGCTGATTAAACTTGCTAGAAAGGCTATTCAAAACATGATAGACCAGGAAAGGCTCCGTAATGGAAATGTCAAGAGCATTTAGTTTATATGATATATTTATCATTTTCATGACATGCTCCCTTACACCACTTGTGCCATCATATTTCATACTCATCAATTTATCCATTAGATCTTCAATTTCGACTTTATCACACTCAATAAAAATTTCTCCTATGGCACCCATAAAACTTTTAGTATTTTCATTATCGGGGATGACACTTAGAATGGAATCAGATATGGATCGCTTAATGATTTTCAAACAAAGTTTGTTAGCCCTTTCCCACTTTTCATGCTCGGCTACATATTCAATGGTACTCTTATCTGTGGGTTTCTCAAGCTTTTTCTCTATTGCAAAATTCAAGCCCAAAAGACCAAGACCAAGTGTTATTTCTACGTCTCGTTTCTATCTCATATAGTTATTCCCAGTGAAGGTTTCAATAGCAGACAACTGATTCGAAAGAGATAAGGTATTATAAACTGTGAAAACATAAAATATCACTCTTAATATCATCCAAATGTAATGCATGTAATCAAATGGATGATGTAATATCCAACTAATTAATATGGGTTATTAATTAGATAGTTTGTAACTTAATGGAAACATATGGATTTTATTACGGTAAGAGCCTAGATGCATCATCATAAAGTCACCTTTGGGTCGACAATACAACATGCTATAAGGTACTCTTAAAACATATCATGTAGCTAGTTAACAAAATTACACTGGTTTTCGAAATACCAACACCTTTGGGCAGAAGGAAATTTCTAAACCAAAATAAGATCGTTAACTGCCTTATGCCATTTTCCAAAACATCACATATAATAACACATTTGGCAAGATATTATATGCAATAAACAAAAATTGTTGCGCAATATATATATATATATATTGCAGAGAAAATCGAATAAATAATAATGAGCGTGTCACTTTGACAACTACCACCCATTTTTATTTCAAAATATTTCTCTTTGTGGAAAAAATAAGGATCGTCTCAAATTCTATAAAAATTCAATTACAAAACAATAATTACGCAACAAATCATAATCATTAATAGATAAAAGACAAAAAATCATATGTGATTGAGAGACGATATTGGTAACAAAATTTCAAAAATTTCAGTATACATAAAAATTGAAATTCAAGCACACAAATAATGGAAACATTTAAATGCATAAACATTTTAATGAAAAATATAAAAGTCATCAATCAATTATTTATTTATTTATTTTAATTGAGTCAATCAACAAATAAAATTTCAACTGGATCAAAATTGAAATATTGGAGTAAGGACTTTTAAATCCAACTTCAAAATTCAAATTTAATCCCCTTTTTGAAAATTACACTCTGACTCTATATCTGAAATTAAAGTCAGGTCCACCAGTTTCTTAAATTACAGGCAGGCCCTTCTTTTATTATTAACAAACTTAACCCCCAATCTCAAATTACAAACAGGGGTTTGAAGATTAGTTATTTGCGGCATAAGCCCCCGTCTACCTTGGCTGGTTCTCCACAGAAATTGAATTTTTTTTTTGTTTTCTTTCTGGGGCACCGGCAGTACCCGGCGCCGCCCATGTCGCCGGCGGCGTTTTTGGGCAACAGCGTGACTTCGCCTTTTTTTTTTTTTGGGTAATCACCATTGGCAAAAACCCATACACAAATTCAATTGAAGATTCATTCCTCATAGAATTCACAGAATAGATAAATATTCACAGAACAAATAAATACGCCCACGATCGATTATCCCTTCTTCTTCAAACTCTTTGGTCCATTTAAAATCTGTTTTATAATTATTGAGGCAAAAAGTAGATGATGGGTTTTGATTTTATGGATTATTCAAGATGCTATTTACAACCTAAAAAGGAATTGATGTAATATGGCGGCGGAGTTGGCGTTTTGCAGCGCTAATTTCAAACCAAAAAGAAATTGAAGTGCAAGTGCATACAATGTATATGCTTGTATATAAGATCAAGGTGTTGGTGAGGAGGGTATGAACTAACTCTCTCAAGTTGCCAGGACAATAACAATATGGAAAGCCAACTTTCAATTATCCAGGTAGAAAACGAGATATGATATTATTTTTCTTTTATTAGGGATTCTGATCTCAGCATGAAGGCTCTGATACCAATTGTGAATTTTAATTTATTCATGCTAAGAATCAAGAATCACAAAAATTAAATTAATAAAATGAATTTATACCTGCGGAAATCATTGTTGATATGAATAATAGTTGTAATAGTAGCAAAAATCTTCCCCTTCTTGCTCTTCACAAAGTATTAGCTATCAATGGGGCAATCTAATATAACATATATATGGAGAGAAAAGGGGACCTAGCCTTTATATAGGAAATAATTGAGTCGTTCCATTACGACTAGAATTCTAATCAGGGTTTTTTTCCAACCCACATACCTAAAATTACCACACCAAATAAATCACAATCTGTAAGGTGCAAAAGGCTCAATTGATCATTTAACAAATTTGGCCCAATTACAAATATCATTATGAGTCATACATCTAACCCGTAAGTTTTGCAATCGAATGTGAAGCCCACATATGGAATTATTCCAATAGTGCAATGATATGTCGGAATCTTGTTTCTCGACGATTCGAGCTGGGCGGTCAAAGATTTTTGACAATTCTTCATCTTCCTCGTTCGGCTCATGATTCACCGCTTCATTAACGGTACTCGATTCCCTGCTTGAATCTTCACTTTTATGTCATTTGAAGCAATAGATCTCGTAATAGCATGCATTGAGATGCTAGAAAGATTCGAATGCCCTCTTGCTAGGTTTTACTTATCCTCTTATCTGTATGACAATAATAAAAAAATTTGGGGATTACCAAACAGATCCCAACCTCATTCCCAGGAAGCTTAGGGAGGAAAAGAACAGGAAGTAGGACATTTTTATATAATTTCAATGTGTTGAAATCGACAGTGTTTTGGGGATTTGGTTGCTTTTTAAGGTTTTGCAAAAGTGTGCCGTGTTCGATGATATGGGAGACAAGTTGTCTTTGTTTTACGTCATGCCGTCGGATTGTGAATTATTTTGAAACTGTTGCAGTATTTTGGCTATCATTTTCATTTTTTACATCTAGTTTGTGCATTTTAATTAGGCCTCTGGAATGCCTACCAACTTATACTCTTCATTTCATGTTTAGATCATTACACTGCACAATCCTATTTTTATTTTCTGGAGCAAATTTTTGTTGGGTATTTTTTTTTCCTGCCATTAAAAGTGGGTTCTACTGATTACTGAGACAAAATTTTATAGAGGACAGGATGATCCTTTTTCCATTCCTTCCACATAATCAGACATGCTTTCTGGTTCTATACTTCTATTATGCCAATGTGTGTAGTCACTTGTGGCACCATTTTGATAAAGTATTATAATTAGAATAAAGAGTGAAAAAAAAAATTGTATAACAAAAGACATTTTGTAGAAGTGAAGAATGGTTGTTAATATTCATAGCTACTGATTGACGTGCAAATTGTTGCTGTACGCTAGGTATGAATGTGAATACAACAAAGATATGACATATTCTTTAGTCAATTAATGCATATCATCCAAGAATATGGTTCAAGAATTCTGACATATTTCAATCGATAACATTGTGCATTTTGGAGATGTAGCGCTCGTGATACAATGATATAAGCAAAATGTGCACTAATTTCTGCAATTGCATTTTCATTTTGTTCCCAAAGTTTAGTAGATTTGAAATAAACCATTACAAGTTGAGATTATTTATGAATCAACTAAAATCATAAAATCAGTTGATCATGAAATGATTCCAATCGTGTCAAAGACTTCTGTTAATAGTGTTACATATCACCATTGAAAGGTAAGTGAGACCTCTAACCAAATCAAGGGGTCTATCAATTTTCAATACGGACATGTTAAATGAACAAGGGCCTTAACAGGCCCCTATGACATGCGACTATTTGGCACCCCCCTACTGGAGGGGGTGTCGATCAAGACCCCCATCAGAGTAGCATTTCCCTTTTCAATTTAAGTTTCTTGAACAACTATGCCCTTGTTTGATAACCGTAATCTTAAAATTCATTTTTTCAAACGTACTAATTTTCAATTATATTTAAGTAATAAAATATTTTACGTGCAAACTTGAAACTTTTTTTTTTACTTTTTAATTAGTACACATTTTTCTAAAAATCATTATTCAAAAATTGTTGCCGAACGAGGGCCATATAAAAATCTGCTTGCTTGGCATGTTACCCAGTCAGCGTACGATCGACCAACAACTTAAACTGTAGATTAGAAACTATAATCTGCTTTTGCAGACTTTTTTAAAATTTGATGCATTGAGAAAGAGGAAATTGCATCCCAATTCCATAATATATTATCTTTTAAAGTTGTAATCAAGCTGTCATTATAACTTGAACAATTAGTCGTTAATGATAGAAATCGTTCACTTTTAACATGTCCAATTTGAAACTTTTTAACACAAACCAAAGTCAAGTAAAGCCAACTTTTTTTTTTTTTTTTTTTTTTTTGTTAAAAAAAGCATGTTTGAAAAACTATACTGAACGCAGGATTACCTGATTTTGTTAAAAGTTAACAAAAGATGGTGAATTTCGTGAAAAATAAATAAAAGTTACAAATTTAATAGAACGTGCAATTAACTGATGAAGTTCGACTAATTTTTAGCCAACAAAATATTTAACAAATATGCGTGGCGAAAGCAACTTTTTGAAGCATGCCTTAGGTATAGTAACATTGAAACTTTTGATTGATGATCAAAGACATGACCACTCCATGTTTGGTTCTATTTATGATATTCTGACCTTGTTCATTTTACTAAAGTTAAAAGAGACATGTCCTTTCGCAGTTGAAACGAATATAAAACCTGAAAACGACAAAGAAATACGGGAAGAATTGCCATGCATAAATCAAGTCCAAGCAGATTAAATGGCAATGAGAAATCAACAATATTAAGCTAATTATTATATTAATTTGTTGTTATAATAGATTAATTTCAAGGTTGATACAGCTTAGCTCAGCACCTGCATTTCCATGAGAGAAGATAGTAAGTGTCATCTTCTCTATTTGATGATTTCTCATAGACCTTTTTCCGGTGGGGAGGAATCACTACTGTGGCCTCACATGGCCTGCAATTCATGCATTTGTTCACGCAACCCGGCGGTCTTGATCCCAAAACCATTTTCCTTAGCTCCTCGGTTGCACTGTAGCTCGATGGCCCAATCCCAACTGACATAGATTATTGCACAGTCAAGAAAAACACATATGGCTTAACACAAAAATTGAGAATCAGTGCTTCTTCTTTTACCTGATTTGGGAATGAGTAACGAGAGAGAAAAGAAAAGGGTAGCTGCAGTGACAGCAAAACTGAGAGCTAGCTTGTAGTTTCTTGAGAGTGCCATCAGTTTATATCAGAATCCCAAGTCTCTGTCTATGTAAGTAAACATAGGGTAAAGAAACTGTGACACAAGGATGAAAGAATACGAAGAGGGATAGATCTTGGGGTGGTTTGGAAAAGGGATATATATATATTTGAAGACAAGACAGTAACAGTGTTCTGAAAATATAGGCTTCTTCACCAATTAAGTCGCTAATTTTACACAGAAAAATTAAGGTTTCTTTCTCGTTTTGGGAAATGTTGTGTTCATCACCTTCGCCTATGTGACTACTTGAAAATCTTCCACTACTTTGCTACTGGATCGACCCTTTATGTATACTTTTCGTACTTGGAAAAGAATCCATTTGATCGCTCTATTTAAGATATTTTCAGTCGATTGATCTAATGAACAGAGATTTGGATACAAGAGTATTGGGAGGCCAGATTTAGCAATCAATCCAACTGGCACTTCTACAAGAAATTGGTGAAATCCGAGGTCTGTGTCAACAGTTGAAATGGTTGTTGATATTTTGGTTTATTGACCAAGTTTTCAACTAATCCCTGAATTAAGAGATGGGAAAATCAACAACTTTCTTGGGAAATGTTTTAAGGCAGAGAACATTTCAGGGAAAAAAAAAGGGAGGTTTTATTTTCTTACCTACACTCTCTAAATAAAATAAAGTTTTACCCGTAAATTTATAATTTTTTTTTCTAATTTAATATATTCTTAAAAAATTATTTTCCACAAAATTTATTTTCAAATAATCTACGTCGAATAAGTTAAGAGTAACACACTTATCCAAGTTTACAAGTAATGGATTCTTGTTTATAAACGCAAAAGTTGTTTGGGGAGTGTTCATAAACAACTCTATTTAATAAATAAATAAGAATGAGTGATGAATAAATAAGTATTGCTTCTGGATTTCGTGGATAAAAAATTGTTTAACCCTTCTTTTTTGGTCATTCATAAACGATTTATAAACATTTGTCACAATTATTTAACCGAACATGCCCTTGTATGTTATATTTATACATGAGGTCGTGGCAAATTCCTCATGATAAAATGTCCACAACTTGATCAAGCTACTAGCTTATGGAAAAAATATATTTAAAAATTTATAAATAAACTTAATTATTAATTATGCTACTTCTACATAAAAATGATACACATTGAATCATATAAAATGATATGGAGGGAAAAGATCGGATGAATAATTGATTATTTTTTAAACTGATAAATAATATAGTGACATATGACATTATGTAATTTATTATGTAAAACTTGATGTACCTGTAGCAGGGTCCCTCAATTATAATCAAATTTTCTAAGCTCATTTAAACATACTTGAAATATAAAACAGGAAGTTCCACTATAAGTCCAGATCATACTTTCACTATTAACAGTTGATAAAGTGAAAAGCAAAACTACTCGCGTTAACTGCAAAACGGAATTTGTAGAATCCAATGGCACTTTAATAGAAGTATTATGTTATTTGTATAAAGTGTGTTTACAAATTTGATCGATAAAATAAGTGTCAGCAAACTTCAAATCATCGATTTCAATGTGTTGGGCACGTTTGGTAAGTGATGTCCAAATCCTCTAGGCGATGATGAAAAATCGAGGCCCGTTTTAACTTCATGGGCTATAAGCCCAAGATTGAAGAATTAAATCCACACCACAATTGAAGTAGCCCAATTATATTGAGTATTTAGAGGTAATCAGTCCATTGGACTAAATGTCAATACCCAACTTGAAGGTAATTTGATTTATCAAAAGAAAATATAGATAAATATAATCGATATCTTTCTTCATCTACCTTATCTCGTCTTGGATGAGGTCTATCTTTTAGTTAACATAATCTTGCAGATTTTCTATCCTAATCTTGCAAGATTTCTGGGAAATCCGTTCTCCCCACTGAGCCTATAAATTGGAGCCTTCACCCTTAATTTTTCTCACACCAAAAATAAGAGAAACTCTCCTCCTACTTAGTGCACAACAAATCCTCCTCTGACTTCTTTGTGAAATTGTCTTTGTGACTGATAATAACATTCAAATTGGAGATACCTTTGTGGTGTGAATCGAGTTTCTGAGCCAAATCAAAAAGGGGGAAATCGTTCTTCCATTTTTTAGTTTTTGGCTTTAAGTTTCTTGAAGTTAATCTTTGCAAATCCTTCATTAATTGGTTCTTTTATTTGATTTATAGGTGAATTTGCTTCACAATTGGTATCATAGCGTGGTGGTGATGAAAATCCGGCCAAAATCGACCAGAAATTGGCAGAAAATAGAAAAATCGAACTACCCATTTTTTTGCACAAAAATCGCACCTGCAAACTCAATTTTTCATCAATTCAGAAGTCTATTGGTGAAACGGAGACTAGGGTTGAGACCTGCAGGTGGAGGCGGTGCTGACTGTGCGGCACGTGGCATCTCCGACGACGGCGCGTCACGTCGATTATGGGGAAGTTGTCTCCTAGCAGTTTATTCCTCACATTATTTGTAACATTTTTCATGTTGGAAGTTTTCTGTTTCATGTTACACAGAAAAAGTTGGACAATTTTGCTCTTGTGGATCAACGATCGAAATTGCCACATATTTACTGAGCTACTTTAGGCCAAAATTGCGGGCCTAAAGCAGTAAATTCGCATCTCTCATAATTTACAGACTCAGACAAGTCCTCTCTGGTAAATTGGCTGAAACTTTACATTATCGCACTAGCAGATCATCGTGTGGGGTGATCATTAGGATTGAGGATTGTCATTACTTGGCAAACATTACTTGTTGATAGAACCTAAGATTACTTGCCATTATTTGTTTAATTTTCTAAGTGAAGTTATTCGTTATTAGATTAATTTGTTGAACGTCGTTGCGTTATCTCGTATTATTTTAGACTTATACTCAGACTCCTATTCTAGTTCTTCCCTTGATTTGAGAACTCGATTCTCATGAAACCCTGGGGGTTCTAGAATAGCGTATTATTGTGAAACCATAGGAATCTTGTTATTTCGTGTAATCTGTGTGACCTGTGACTTTTACATATCTAAATTTGTGTTCTGTGCATTTTTGGGTAAAATGTCAACACATTATTTTGAGTTGGGTGTCTTTAATGATAAAGGAGACTTTTCAATTTGGCAATAAAAAATGAAAGGTATTCTTGTTCAATGAAAAGTTTCCAAAGCTATTAATGACTCTTTTCCTACAAACTTGACTAATGAAGAAAAAGAGAATATGGATGAATTGGCAAACACTTCTATAATATTACACCTGTCTGATGTGGTATTAAGAAAAGTTGGTAAATTAAAATCAGTTTAAGAACTTTGGGAAAATTTGGAGGAATTTTATGTGTCTAAGTCAACTCCAAACAAACTTTTTCTACTTGAAAGCTTTTTTAACTTCAAAATCGATTCTTCAAAAGATTTGGATGATAATTTGGATGTCTTTAATACACTCGTGCAAGATATCACTAACTGTGGTGAAAAAGTATCTGAAGAGTATAAGATAATAATTTTGTTAAATGTTATCTCTGAAACTTATAGAGAAGTTAAAAATGTTATTAAGTACGGGAGAGATACTTTGACAACTGAAATTGTCATAGACTCGTTAAAAAGTAAAGAAATGAAAATGCGAGCTGAGAGAGTCGAGAGAAGAAGTGGTGAGGTTCATATAATGAGAGGTAGGTCTCAGTCTAGAACCCATGGTAACCAAAGTAGACACACGTCTGGTAGTAAAAAGAAAAGAAGAAGTTGATCTAGGTCAAGAAATATAACTAAAGGTAGAAAATACTATGGTCGCAGTAAAACTGGACACTTCATTAAAGATTGTTATGTTGAGAATAACAAACAAAAGGAAAAGGTTCACGATGAGGCGAATTTTATTACTTCCTCTGATGAATTTTGTGAAGTATATATGTTATTAAACTCTGAACCTATTGAAGTAAATTTGACTGTGAAATCACATTTAAATGAATGGATACTTGATTCTAGCGCATCATTTCATGTTTCATTACATAAAGACTGGTTTGAAAATATGAAAGAATTTGAAAGTGGTCATGCTATTTTGTGCAATAATCATGCATTATAAAATTGCTGGCATTGGTGATATCACATTGAAATTTGACACTAGTTATGTACTTAAATTACATGGAGTTAGATATATTCCTGAAATGGCTAAGAATCTTATTTCAGTAGAAGCATTAGAAACTGATGATTTTACTGGTAAAATTGGAAATATCATGCTTAAAATGATTAAGGGCACTCTTGTCACATGTAAAGGTACTAAAAGAAACGGTATTTATCTGACCACTGTTGAAATTGTTAAAAATTCAACTTCCTCTATAAATTTGACCAACACTGATGACACACACAAGTGACACAATAGATTAGCTCACATAAGTATTAAAGGACTTAAACTGCTAAATGATAAAGGTGTATTTAGAAAAGACTGTGTGTCTAATATGCCTTTTTGCAATCACTGTGAACTTGGTAAACATCATATGTCATCTTTTTCATTTGATACGCATAAAACTACTAAAGTCTTGGAATATATTCATACTGATTTATAGGGGGCCTGCTACTAATCCTACAATGGGTGGTAATACATATCTTATGTCCATAATTGATGATTACTCTCGTAGGGTGTGGGTTTATCTATTAAAGGATAAAATTGAAACCTTTAAAATTTTCAAAATATGGAAATTGCAAGTTGAAACTCAAACTGGCAAAAAGATAAAATATCTAAAAACTGATAACGGCCTAGATTTATGTAATAATGATTTTGATGATTTGTGTGAAAAATGTGGAATTACTAGACATAAAAATGTTCCTTATACACCTCAACAAAAAGGGGAGCTTAACGTATGAATCGTACTTTACTTGACAAAGTTAGATGTATGATATTGAGTTCTGGAATTCCTAAATCTTTTTGGGGCGAAGTTGTTATCACTCCGTGTTATCTGATTAATTTGACACCTTCTACTGCATTAAATGGTGATACTCCACATGAAAAATGGTATGGTAAATGTGTTGATTATACTATGTTAAAAACTTTTGACTGTGATACTTTCTCTCATCAAAATGAGGAAAAACTAGAACTTAGAGCTAGAAATGTGTTTCTTAGGATATTCTGAAGGAGTGAAAGGGTATAGGCTTTGGGATAGAAGTCAAAATGAAGTTAAAATCATCATAAGTCGTGATGTTACATTTAATGAGTCTGAAATGCAATGTCTAAAATAAAAAAGTGACACCTTGAGAGAAAAACAGTAAGAAAACATTAGTGACGAATCTCAAGTAAATTTAAGGTCCTTAAGTGTTCAAACCCCCACCATCTTAATTGAGGTGGAGCATCAAAATCCTAAACTAGAAGATAATTAGAGTAAAATATTGAGAGAGATGAAGTTATAGAGGAATATCAAGGAGAGCAAAACCCTTTGTTTGATTACCAA